ACATTTTAATATTATATTCATCTATTACGTTTAACTAATAAAAACTATATTTTACAATTATAAGCAATTAAACTCCCTATAACTCCCTAAGTGCACCTAAATGCACGGATGTCATGTGATGATCTACGACAAATTAACCAATGATAAATCATAATTCCGTGTAACGTAACACGATCAGGAAAATTCAAAACCTCACGAATTTGTATAAGAAACGGTCTTTAAAAAATTTCTGAGCAATTTTACTATAAGAATTCTACTTTAACCCTAACTCTAACATTAACTTTGACGTTAATTCTAATTTTTACCCGAATATTAAGTTATTTTGTCGATCATCACATGACCCGTAATTTTCTGGTGGACTCCACGGATTAAGTAAATTCTCTCTAAATGCACGGTATAGTCTGGTCCCAGCCTATATAATTTGCTCTCTATCAATGCACACCCTCTTTAAGTGCACACTTTTCATTTTTTTTCCTATGGTCCCGAGGGGGTGCACTTAGGGAGGCCTGACTGTATTTGATGTGATTTAAAAGACATCTGCTTGAAAATTTTCTCCCATTTTTATGCGTGCTTTTTTTCACAGTACTCACTATGCTAAATGTTTACAACTTGGATCTGGATTACTGTACTATCAATCAAAAACTAGTTACTTTTAATATACAAGTTCTCTATCACTAATTTAGACATTTAGTCATAATATTTATTTAGTCAACTATTTAGGCATTTATTCAAATTTAGGATTTTGACATTTCGACAAAATTGTCTAAATGTTTGACTAAATAGGGTAATTCGACTAACAACGTTAACTGAAGCATCTGATTAAAATTTAAAACTGATTTTTTTCAGTCTTTGAATGTAAATTTCTAAGGACAATCAATAATTTGCTCAGCTTTCATGGCGCACAACGAAATTTATTCAAAAAAGAACCCGTTTTAATAAGGAAATAAAAGTACCTACGTATGTACGTACGTACGTACGTACTATAGACAATCAGATATAGTTCTATTTGTCACGGCTCACCATATTTAGGGCAGATATTAGTTTTAAATAGCTTGAGATAAAAGCTTAATGAAGCAGAAAGTTATCCGATACATTTACATAAACACCAAGCTTTAATCAACAAAATTTTTTCCTAAACTCGATATAGTTTCTTCAGTGTCCATCCAATCTATTACGTTATCATCTACTGCTAATACCCTATTTTGCTTATAGAAGAGTAAATTAAGCCCCCAATAAACTAACGAATGTTCACATCTAAGTATGCAAAGCATGGTGAATATAACAATTAAATAATTCAACAAAACAATCGTATACTGGTAGCTTTGAAATTTAGTCTTGAACTGTTCGAAAATGGATCGATTTAGTAAATAATCCATGAATAAAACAATAATATCCCATTTCAGACAGACCTCATTTTCCTCATCAATCCATTCAAGTACAGCGTGCATAAACTGGCGTTTCAATTCATCAATATCAATCTCCTGATGTGTTGGATCAATATCAACGCATATTACTTCTTTCTGAGATTTATGCTTGACATAATTTTTGAACTTGGTTTGCTTATCATTTTCAGAGAAAGTGTAACTTTTAGAGAATATCGATGGCGCTTGTTCTTCTAAATGTGACCGCAACCATTTTGACTAAAATAACAGATGCAGACACTTAATTATTATATCTAATTTTCAAATCACAAGCATATTGAAAACTATAATAAATTCAATCTTACTATTTCATTAAATTGTGCGATTTCGCCTCTGCTATATAGATATTCTTTATAGGTATTAAAAATATAATTAAGGGATAAATAACCACCAGATAGAATATTTAGCAAAAAAAAAAAAATTTGTTATATTGATTAGAGATGCTAAATAGTTCAAATGAACTCAGTTCATATCAAGTTCAGATGTGAACTTTAATTAATTAGGTTGAGTTGATCTGATATTAAGTACTAAGCCTTGAGAACTTGATCTAGATTAGACCAAGCCTAGTTTAAACTGAACTTAAGCTAATTCAATTTACTTTTGAGTTAACTATATTGGACCAAATGAACTAATTAACATCCCTAATATCAATCTAAATAATATCAACAAAAAAGAGGATACTACAAATGTGTTCTAACACTTGAACGTCAAATATAAACTTGGTAAACATGGATTTTTGTAATGTCCCATCGTTTATCGCCAAATCGAGCAAAGGTTTTGTTTCGTTAAGGCAACCAAATTCATGTTGTATAAATTGGTGGAATACTATGGCTGCAATAGGTTCTAATTAAATGGTATTAATTATTATTATTATTAGTATTATCTTAATAATAAATGATACGAGTATTTACCTTTACGAGAAAGAGAACAGAGAATCATTTGCTTTATCGTATGCAAAGGCCATAATTCATTTATTTTATCAAGAAACATATAAAAAGACGTTTTTAACGCAATTGCCTCCATACTATATCTGTTAAATAAATAACCGTTAATGAGGATTATATGGATAACTTGTTCAATGAACCAATTTAGAACCAATTTATTTACCTCAAAGATTTTAGGGGTGACCCCTGCAGGCAATATATGTCGGCCAACCGAATATAATAGCAACATTTTGGGCTATGATGTTTGGCCGCTTCAATACATAACCGTACTAACAAGTGCGTAAAGTCAAAGCGAACTGGTTTTATTTTCTCATCAAGCACATGAGAAATTTTATTAAGCCTAATAATTTCACAATTTTTATTTATGTCAAAATTGTTTTACAACAAATGATAATGACATGATAAAATAATGAAACTTGCAATTTTTCAGGCCAATGTCTTTGAGCACATTCGGTTGACATTAAAATAATCGTAAGTGGGCCATATAATTGGGAGTTTAATTGCTTATAATTGTAAAATATAGTTTTTATTAGTTAAACGTAATAGATGAATATAATATTAAAATGT